TAATCACTCAAATCTTTTGCAGAAGCATTTTTAAATTAAGTAAAAATTGTTTGTAACATTGTTGATACCATTTTGTCCTTGAGTATTCAATTAGAATATATGTCAAATATTTTTAAAAATTCAAAAACATTAATATATTAATAATAAACAAATTTATCTTTATAAAAAATTTTTATAGATAAAAAAAAAATATAATAATAATAATAATAATAATAATGACAAGAAGAATGGTGATAGTCACTTCAATTGCAAGGAAGGGTTTAGTCTAATTTAAAATAAATAAAGTATAAAGCATTTAATATTTTAATTAATTACTAAAAAATTTTTTTGATAATATCTATAGCAATAAAATGATTTTATTATACATTATATATATTAATTATTAAAAACCCTAAATTTTGATATCTTTCTAATATTTCTTTTCCTTTACTTTCTAGTAAAACTTCATGCCTATTATACTTATTAAACTTACCAAATCCCATTATTAAAGGTTTGAGTCCTCTCCAATTCTTCATTAGAATATCCAAAGAATGATTACTAACATTACAAACCTTACAAGTAAAGGTTATTGACTTTAAGTTTTTTGGTAATGTTTCATTTAATACTGTCAATATTTTATCACAATTTAATGTATCTTCAGGCAAATTATTAAATGTAATACTTTTTAATTTAATGCAATTATTAAGTGCTTCCATTAATTCCTGGTCTAATTCATCCTCATATATTATAGATAAATCTTCTAAATTTTTACAATATTGTGCAATTGATTGAAATATCTTTCTCAAGAATTCATCATTATAACCACCAATAACATTCAGATTTTTAAGATTTTTTCCATTGATATTAATAAAATCTGATAAGTCTGATATTGATGATTGATGAGTAATATATAACTTCACAGATTCAATATTTGGCAGTGAAATATTTTTCAAATTTATCATTTGGGTATTAACATAAATTGTTAATTCTAAAGTTTTTAAATTTTTAAAATTTGGTAACAAGAAATTATTATAATTATCTAAATTGCCACAAGATTCATAAAAAATTATTGATTGTGAATGTGTTAATATTGCTTTCCTTAATTCATCTGGTAACATTGATGATGTAATAGATAAATATTTAATTTGCTTTTGTGCTTTGATTAGCTGTGCTAAATTATATATATTTTTGTTACTATTACAACGAATTTTTAATGATTGAATATTTTTACATATATTTGCTAATTTATCAAAAAATTTACCACCATCAGAACTACTGCAATCTATTTCATAAAGATTCTGAAAACAATTATCAAATCTATGATGATTAATTAATAGATTACAATCTGTGTAATAAGAAGCAAACTTTCTAATACCTGTTGAATGATCTAAAATAAAGTTTTTTAATTTATTTTTTAAAATTTGAATTAATTTTCTATTTTTTATCAGGCATTGAAGATCATAACAATCATAAAATATAGTACAAAATCTGGCATAATTGTATAATGGTGGTTTTTCCAATAGTTCAGATGTTAATTCAATGCAATTTCTAGTTAAGAAATCCTTGTCTTCTTCTAATACACAATTAATTAATATTTTGGCGCTGTTGTCACAAACAAATGGATTCTTCCATAAAGTTGGAATATTTATATTGTGCCATTTTTTGTTGACAAGAATACAAGAATATAATGCTTGGTAATCATCTTCAATGTATTTGAATATTTCAGTCAGAAGTTCATCTGGCAAACTAATTATTTCAATCATTTTTTTAAAAATAATTTGTTTGTTGCACAAATGTAAATGAAAAAAAAATTTATTTTTGGCAAATTTATAGATCTCAAATTTTGTAACGATCTCCCTTCCAAATTAACAATTGGAAAAAAAAATATTAATCATGATAAACGGTGTATAAATTTCGGTGTGTAATTCTCACATTGAATTCTATATATACACTGATGATGATAAATAATAATTGATTAATATATTTACCAAAAAGTAATTAATTTATACCCAAATTAAACATGTTAGCCGAAATTGCCTCTCTTAATATAATAATAAATTATCATCACCGAATTCGAAACGCCAAATAGTTTTTCATAGTTGCCGAAATCAACTTTATTTATTGTCAAAATTATATCCGAAATTATTTGAACACTTTAGCTCGATAACTGAAATCCTGGTAGTTTTTTCTATTGATATAAAGAATATTGTAAATCCAAAATTGTTTGCCAAAATTAATTTTTCAACAACTATTTCGGCTAACATCCTTAACCCAAATCACATGGACTATTCCTAAAAAGCCATGGTAGATTTCTTTAACAAAAAAAATTAGTATAACAAAAATAATCAAAATCTCATTTATTATTACGAATCATCCCAATTCAATAAGATGATCAACAATCACTATTACTATATAATGAACCTTTTTTCAAATAAATAAAAATTTGGGAGAGCGGAAGTTCATTGTAACGTCATTGAAAATAACAGGTAAGGCGATAGCAAGGCACTTTGGAGTGTTAGATATAATCGCAAACATAGTAATAGTGGAATAAAATCAATTAGTAAAAGTTTCGTACCACACGAATATGTTAGGAAGCGGGAAACTTAAAAAGTTTATAACATTGGAAGCAAAATAGCTAGAAAAAAAAATTGAAAATGATTTTAATTTCTAAATATTTTGTATGTAACGTAATGACGCTATTTTTTTTGTTTAATATATATAATTTTTTTTAAATTTATATGTATCGACAGTTATTTAGAATTTGTGACAAAACAATATAAAAATACATCAATGTAATAAGTATTTTTAAAATACTCTGTCACATCGAAGAGAAATGTCACACGACTAGTATATTTTACAATTTTTTCCGGAATAATTCCGTATCTTTTATAATAATCATTTCATAGCAATAAAAATTATAATTCATACGGAATTTCCGTATGCAAATTTTTTATAGGGAAGGGGACGCCTTTGGGATATAATTATTTACATAGAACCTAAGGACCCTTTTATCCAGGAAGATAAAAGTAATCTTTGACCATAAGTCAGCAAGTAGGGTGTGTGTCATATATATATAAATAAAGGAAACTTGACTGTAAGTCAGTGAGTAGGATGTGCGTCAAACAATAGAATCAACTGTAAGTCAGTGAGTAGGCTGTGTGTTGAGCATTAGATAACCTATTAATTAGGAAACTCGGATTGCATGCTTGCAAGCTTATTTATCTTTTAAAAATAAAAACATATTATTAAATTGCAAATGATAAGATATTAATCCACGCCTGTATTTGGATGTTCTTTTTATTACTATTACTGTTGTAATAATTATCAATTCAGACAATGTAATATTATAAAAATGCAACTATCCTTGAAAATTTTGTTTGAATTCACTAAATCTAAGTTAGATATTTTTATTATAACAAGCATTGTTATGTCAAATAATACTTGTAACAAAAAAGATAATTTGAAGTTTCATTTTTTAATTAATAAATATCAATGAGAGTTTTGATTATTTGAATTTTATTTACCTATTTATTAGTTTTTTTTGTTCTTATTCTTGAAGAACGTTAAGTGAACATAACCTCTTAATTTCTTTTGCCAAATTCATTTGAACCCTGAAATCATTGGGTAGTTCATTTTGTTGGGTTTTGTAGCAGCATGCCCCATATAATATGTATATAATATAAAGAATTAAAGCATTTAAATCATTGAAAAGAAAAATTGAAAAACTAATATTACAACAAATAATTTTAATTTCATTGAACCGCATGACTTTCATCAGTACCACAAAGACTCAAGCTACGTTTTTTGATAAGATCGACATCGACTTTTGAGAATTGATATAGTAATGGATCAACATCTACAAATACAAACACTGCTGGTACCGGTACCAATATAAATGAACCATCATTAAAAGTATTCGCGGGCGCTTACTTTTCCAGGACGATAACAACAACAACAATAAAAGGAACCAAGTTCCTTTGTTGTAGGACACATAGATAGAAGGAACACTAATAAATTTTGATATTCTTTCGCTTATTAGTCATACCACCAGATTTACAACTACTACGAGTATTGTTAGAGAAGTTATTGCCACTATTATCATCACTGCTAACTTGTTGTATTTAATGAATGAAACAGCATCGTTCACCGTATATGCAAACTCCTCTTTCTATATAGGCCATGCAAACTTCACTTTTATATTTTGGGTGACGAATAACATGTTGTAATTCAATTAAAGAATGTGCGAATTGGGAATCTGTTTCCATATCTGTATTATTAGGAAAAATAAATAAATAAATAAAAAATTCATTAATTGTTATAAATAAATAAAAATTCATTAATTGTTATAAATAAATATATCAAAAATAATAATTTCAGTTTTGTAGAAAGAAAAGGTTTTCTTTTGATCTTTGTTATCATCGGTAACTGAAGATGCAACAGAAGGAAACATATTGATTTATTGACGTTATATTTTTGGGATGATAAATGTAAATCTTCATACGAAGATAAATTTTGAGTGGTGGATTCAGATCAGAAGATTCCTCGTTAATTCTTTTATTTGTTGATGACGTGAAGGAATTATCACCACGAGAAGGAAGAAAAACGGTGTTGTTTAATGCTGAACATAATATTGATTTTCTAAAATTATCCATAACGGTATAAACGTTGTCCACGGAGTGAGCAATTTGTTGTGTCAGTAGTAATTTCGATGGTGCACAAAATATTTTCCGCAATTGATAAGAAAATGGGTTCACGTTTGGTCATTTAGAGAACATGAAAAATTAGATTTATAAAGCAAAATAAGAAATCTTTATTTTTTTTTATTTTAAAAAAAAATTTAAATTAAAAATTAAATAATAATTAAAATAATTTATAACGTTATTAATTCCTACTCTTAATATATAAAAAATAAAAACTATTTACAATGTTTTTTTAAATTTTATAAATAATATTTATAAAAAAATATTTATAAAAAAAAAATATATATCTATATATATATAACTAAAAATAAATAAAAGTTATTTATATTTATATATATAAATAATTTATTATTAAAAAAAAACCCAAGTAGGAATTATTGCTGTTAACCACTAATAATTAATACTTACCCACAATGTATATTTCTTTTTTTTTTTTAAAAAAATGTTTTTTTGATTTTTTTTGATTTTTTAATTAAAAAATGTCCATAAAATAAAAAATAAAAATTTTTCTTTAAATTGTTAATAATAAAATCTCTTCTGCTTGTTTTCACACACACACATGTATTTTTTTCCTCTTATATTCTCTTCAAAAAATGAAAACCGCTTGAATTATGCAACCAATCTTTGAAAGCAAGCCAAACGTTTCGCATGGCTTCCACCAGTACCGCAGAGACTTAAGCTACGTTCTCTAATGGTGGCTGGGTGATTTATTATATTATCGAGACTGAGATCGCCTTCGACTTCAAGATCCTTAAGAATTGATAAAGTCAAGGAACTTGGTTCCTTTTGTTGTTGCTGTTGCTGCTGCTGCTGTTGTTTCTGTTGCTGTTGCTGTTGTCCGAGAAGCGATCTGGAAAAGTAAGCATCCGTGAATGCTTGCAATGATGATTCATTTACGTTAGTACCGGTACCGGCAGTGTTTGTATTTTTTGATGCTGATCCGTTGTTGTAGGACCCATAGATAGAAGGATCACTAATAAATTTTGATAATCTTTGCTTATTAGTCATACCACCAGATTTACGATTACTGCCAGTATTAGAGATGTTATTTCCATTATTATCATCACTGCTAACTTGTTGTATTTCATGAATGAAACAGCATCGTCTTCCGTATGGGCAAATTCCTCTTTCTATATAAGTTTTGCAAACTTCAGTTTTATATTTTGGGTGACGATTAACATGTCGTAATTCAATTTGAGAATGTGCGAATTGACATTTGTTTCCATATCTGTATTATTAGAAAAAAAAGAAAAAGAATTGATTAATTATAACTTTATAACAAATAAATCAATAATAATAATAATAAATAAAAATAAAAATAAAAATACTTGCCTACAAACACCTTTCTCTTCCCAATTGCGACAAATTTCAGTTTTATAGAGAATGGTTTTCTTTTGATCTTTATCATCGGTAACTGAAGATGCAACAGAAGAGGACATTGATTTAACAGGGTCACTGTTTCTTCTGACTTTTGGATTAGCGGTAATAATATTAGTGGACATTGTGTTATCAATATTATCATTAAAAGTTGGGGTGGTTGTTGTTGTTGATTTGATATTTGCAAGTGCAACAGCAGTTGATATATTGCTAAGATTTTCGATCACTTTTTGATTGACAGCGGGTTTAGACGAAGATTGAACGATGACATTATTTGAAGAAACTGGTTTTGTTGTAGTACTGATATTATTATCCTTAAATTGTGTGGTAGATAATGTAGCAGAATTAGAAATTTCGTATTCATCATCGTGATTATTGATGTTATATTTTTGGGATAATAAATGTAAATCTTCTTCATGCGAAGATAGATTTTGAGCGGTGGATTCAGAAACTAAGAGATCGGAGGATTCCTTATTAATCCCTTTATTTGTTGATGACGTTGAGGAATTATCACCATGAGAAGGCGAATTAGTACTGTTGTTGCTGGAAGAGGAAGGAAGAAAAACAGCGTTGTTTAATGCTGAAAGTAATAAAGATTTTCTAAATTCTTCGCTGTTATCGTCGTCATTGTTAGTGGTAGTGGTGTCAGTAGTAGCTTCGATGATGTCGAATGGATCGAGTACACAAGGTATTTTATTATCGCCGTCGAGTTCATGCTCAGTATTTTCTTTGTGCAATGGACAGAGAGCTGAATCAAAATTGGTGACGGGCGATTTAGGTAAATCAAAATTCGTATTATTGACTTCATTTTTAGAAAGAGTTGAAACAAAAGTGGTGGCGGCGGTGGTGACGTTGTTATATTCATCAAATGGAGCAAAGCTTGTGGTGTTGTTGGTAATGGAGGAGATATTATTTTTGTCGTTATTTGATGTGGAAAATAATAAAGATCTTCTGTAGTCATCGTCTTCTTTTGGAGGAGATGATCCGAGAGAAGATGTTTCAGATCCAGATGTCAAATCAGGAGATACTTCATCGAATGATAAGGTCAAAGGATTAAATAAGTAACAGCTATCCTTGGTGTTGTTGATATCGGTATTGTAGAAAGTTGAGTAGATAGATGAATGTTTGTGAGGAATAGCGTCCTTGATACCGTTAAGTTTATCCTCATATAAAACGTCAATGTTACTACCGTCAGTGAAAGCGGCGGTATTAACGGTGTTGTTGGTTGAGAGATGATTAAGAGCGGGAGGTGGTAGTTGAGGATAATAAAGATTATCAGGATGATGAAGACTATTTTGTTGAAGATCATAGATATTATTGTTATTATCATCAATTTGATCAGCGGCCAAATTATTCCAATACAAAGATTTAGCCAATTCAGCATTTTTGATTTGAGGAATTTTTGCACAAGTAACGGTGGTAGAGATAGAAGGTTGTTGTTTGATACAATCGTTTATATCAACGTTGACTCCAGCAGCAGTGGAAATGATATTGTTTTTGTTATTGATGTAGTTGCTGGCAGTAATAGCGACAGGCTTTTCAAAGATCATGGTTTTTGGATGATTGAGGTGATAGTCATTGATGAGGTTATTAGAAGTAGGAGCTTCATAAACATTGGTAGCGGTGGTGTTGGTACGAATTTTGGACGATTCGATGATAACATCATCATCAGAGACAAGTTTAGTAGGGGGAGAGTACAATTGAGAAAATAATGAAATACAAGAAGATTTGAATCTTGAAGAGGTTTTGTTGATCGACAAGCCTCTCATATCACCGACGGCTTTGGAGAAAGTTTTATTAACGTTGATGTCTTTTGGTGGTAACGAAGGCATCTTGTTGAAATGTGTGTGTATAATAATAATATATATATTTATGATGGAAATTGATTTTTTTTTGTGTCGACTAGTATTAAATATAAATTCATATGATATAGTTTGGTTAATAAATAAATATTATATATGTATGTAAAAAAAAGAAAAAAAAAATAAATTTTCAAAAAAAAAATTAAATAAAAAAAAATCAGTTGCGAGTATGCCGAGTGCAAGTAAATATATATATATATATATAAAATATATAAATGGAAAAAAGTATAATAAAGTGTAATGATTTTTAAGTTTATTGTGTGTGTGAGAAAGGTAAAATAAGATATATATATATATAATGTGTGTGTGTTGATATAAAAATGTGATATCAATTAAATAATCAAAGTAAGTATTTTTTTTTAAAAAAATAATAAATAATAATAAATCATAATAATGAAGATGTGATGTATAAATAAATAGTTTGAAAAATTGTATATAATAAAAAACTTTTTAAATTAATAATTATTCCGAAAACTAAAACGATTCAAATTAGCCAATAAAATTAATCGATTTTAAAAAATACCAACCTAACCAAAATAAGATTTTACGTAGAAGGTAAATGAACAACCACACCGATAATAGTATCAGCGAAAAAAATAAAAGATGTCCTGAGAAAATTTATAAGATATACGTGTGTGTACGGCTATGTATTATGTAGATATAGAGAAAGAAAATTAGAGAAATGTATATATATAGGTTAATATATTATGTTGCATATATATTGTGTGTGGGGGTGGGGAAGAGCAAGTAAAGGAATACGTCGAAGAATTTATTGTGTGTTTTGTTGAAGAGGTAAAAAAAGTATGAGAGGGAAGGAGGGATGGGAAGAATTATGTCAAAAAAAAAAGTAAAAGGTTTCGTGTTGAAATTGTGTTGAAATTGAGTAAAGTGAAGGATTGAAAAAAGAAATGAGACGAAGTTGTGTGTATATATGAATACATATGTATACAGAAAAAAATTTTTTTTTTACCTGAATTATCTGTCTATCTCTCTTGTTTGCCTTTAGAGGGAGGAAGGAGATAGAGAAAAACTTTTAAGAAATAATTTATCAGAAGGATATATTTTATAGATAGAGAAAATGAGATAAATATTTTTAAATATTAATTAACAATTTTTTATAATAAGTACGTATGTGCTTGTGGATAAAATATTATTTTTAATTTATTAATTTAGGAAAGGGTTTTTTTTATTTTGTTTGTAAATAGGAGAGTGATTTTTTTTTAAAGAGAAAAGAAATTTTGATCCTTATATACTTTTTTATATTCTCGGTTAAATATATATATTAATATTTATTATCACGATAAAAAGGATTTGCCCATTTTATTTCTATTTTTATTTCTATTTTTATTTATATTGATTTATATGGAATATTTCTCTCTTTTTTAATTTAATCAATCAATTAATTTACTAACTATTAATCAACACCACGCACGCACGTATAATTAATAAAAATTATTACAAAACTTTTGAAATATGCTTCTTTTTTTACAATCAACTATATACACACTCTCTCTATAACTCATTATCAATTAATCATCTCTCTTATCAGATTTATCTTCAATTATATGGGAAAATGTTTCAAGTTAATATTATATAACTTTTTGATTTGGGGTTTTTTTCAATTTTCCAGAAAATTTTTTTATTTTTATTGGTTATTTTAAATAGAGATTACTATTGAATAATATAAATGGTAATAAATAAATAAATAAATAAAATTATTTTTATTTATTCAATTATTTTTATTTATTTATTTATTTATTTATTTATTCTTTATTTATAAATAATAATTGTTAACTTATTTAAACTATTCATTAATCAATTATTACATATAATAGATGAATGATGAATGATGACGAGGACGAAGACGACAGACAACACGTTGTAATTAACGAACGATTAATCTAAGATCAAATCACATTTAATTGACCAATCAATCGATCAATTAATTACAATAAAAAAATCGAAAATTTTTTTTACAATAATCCGATTATATTAGCTAGTTGACGAGTTTTTAACGAGTTTAATAATGTCGGCATAACGAAAATGATGGCAAATTACAGTTTTTAGTTCGCTCGTAATATTAATAGTAATAAAGATTTGCTTATAAGATTAAAGGGGTTAGACTGTTTTTTTTCTAGATGTTATACGATGTTCTACTATTATCAATTAGTACATGTTATAACCATATTGGGAATATTAACGTAGATCAGGGTCAAATCTCTTTTATTTATTATTGATAAAATTTTTATAATTTGGTAATACAGCACGAGATCTTTCAAACCTCATGTTTGGTTATATTATATAATTTGTCAATATTTATATTATGTTTTAAGGCGAAATCCTCCCCCCCTTTTATTGTCACCATAAACTAAAGAGAGAGTTGAGTGAACAAATAATATTTATCTAAAAGTTCAAAGACATAACATTTTAATAGAACAATGAAATGTTTTTATAATTAAATCTATTAATAAACAATGGATTTTTAATTTTCTTTTAGAACAACAACAACAATTTATTGATACACAGACATTTGATAGAGTGACTGCTAAGTTTTTTTTGGTTTCTCTCACAATCAAATTCAAAATAAATTTAATTGGTACACAATATTTTGAACCTTAAATTGGTAAAATTAAAATTCATTCCACATTTTATTTCTATAATTTGGAATTAGAAATTACGACGGCGAGGATGGATGAATGAATGTTTGATTGATTGATTGATTGATTGATTGAATGGGGGGTTGGATTGAATGAACGAATGAATTGAAAAAAAATTTTTCTTTGTTTTTTTTTTTTTTTTTTTTTAAAGCAAAATAAAATAAATACGCATTTTATGTGCAACCAACTCTAACTAATTCGTCATAATCAATACATATACATATATATATATATATATCTGATAGTTTAAATTAACAGCATTAATTCATCATAAGCTTTATTTTAAAAATCTGACATTAATTAATAAAAATATAGATTTACTCAACATAAAAACGTTTCAATTTACTTTATTCAGTTAATTGCATTCCTTTTATTTATCTGTGAGTGTGTTTTTAACATTAGAAAGGAAAAAAGAAATGTGAGATTAGTGTGCAAAATGTAGTTGTTAATTGAATTTACATTTTTGTGATTTTTTTTTTTTTTTTTTTTTTTTTTTTTTATTATTATTATTATTATACAATAATAGAATAAATAATTATTGTTATTCTATTATTATTCTATTATTATTTATTTATTATTATTATTATATTATTATTTATTTATTTATTATTATTATTATTTATTTATTTATTCAAAAATAATTAGAAAACCAGCGATTAAATAAACATATACTTACGACACGCAATCCCGCTAATACTACAACTATATGACAACTAAAATTACAACGATAATAATAATACCCATTTCTCTCCTCAATCTCCTAAAATTAATAATTAATTAATTAATTAATTAATTAATTACATTCATTCTCGAATTTATTTTATTTTTAGATCCAAAGTAAAGAAGATTTTTTATTATCTTTTAATTTCAATTTTTTTTCTTTTTTAAATTTTCCCTTACATAACAAATGATACCTATCATTGTCAACAACAACAAAAAAAGAACCCCCTTAATTTTATTCTACACATTTCAAACACCCTTCTCCTCACTATAATAGTTAAATAAACTTCTGCCATAAATACTAATTAATATATAATTTTATGTGACACAACAACTACTAACTTCATTGATTATTTTACACATGGTTTTGGCTTTCTTAAACAAAGAATTTCTTCATGTTGGTTGAAAGAGAGAGTGAATAAGAGAAGAGGTGGTGGTGGTGGTATAGAGAGGAGTTATTGAATAAAGTTTAATGATAATAATTGGTTATGATTTTTTAAATAATATACATTTTATAAATATTTTTTAAATATTTTTTCCATAGTTTTTAATAATTAAATTTAATATATATAATATTAATAAATAAATATATATTAATATAATAATAATAACAACAATAACAATAATAATAAATTAAGGATGGGTTTGTATGAAAAATACATATATAATATATGTGTGTGTGTGTGTGTGTGTGTGCAAGATATACAAAATCCAGAGCCTTCTCTGAGTTAAAGTTATACACAGAAGCGGATTAACAAAAATATAATCGCCACGTGTAATATACTTTCTTTCATTCATATGATGAATGGTTTTTATTATTATTTATTATTTATATTATATTTTAATTAATTTTTTTAATAATTATTATTTTAACGTTTTCTTTTCTAGCTATAGCATTCATGGTTTGATTCATCATCACCATCATCATTTATTATTTATTTTTGATTTTTTATTTTTAATTTTTTTTATTTTTGTAAAAATAAATGAATTAAATTAACACTACTAAATTAGAGTTATCAATGAATCAATGAATCAATTAGTCAATCAGTCAATCAGTCAATCAGTCAATCAGTCAATCAGTCAATCAGTCAATCAGTCGGTCAATCAGTCAACCAATCAAAAATTAAATGAATGACCTATTGAATATTTATTATAGATTTGTCACACCGCAGAATGTAGAATCTTGGCGATTTTTTTTTAAAAACAAGTGTTTTTTATCTTTATCCGACACGCATTGATGACACATAGAATTTAGATCATCTCGCTTCATCATCGTCATCATCACCATTTATTATTACTATGTCATATTAATTCCGGAAGGAATTTAGTGTTCTGATGTGTGAGAATAAAATATCAGTGACATCATTATCATATTCATCATCATCATAATATCATAATGACATAATTATTATAGATCAAAAAGCGTAGTAGGAAGCAACAAAAATATATATATATATACACACACACACATCCATTACTGCTTTTTTTTTCAATTTACAAAATTTATCGATGGAAACCATAAAACCTAACATTAATATTAAAAATATGGATAACAATCGTAAAACTAGTAATAATTGGGATAATGATAAAAAA